TTTTTTTTTTTTTGAAGTCGACCGCTGACCAATGACTGGTTTGTTTTTCTGGATCGCGGGCTAAAGCCAGGTTATTACTTTGGGGGAGAGGGAGGGAGTACGTGCAAAGGCAAAATTTTGGCGCAAATTAACCCCTGGCGCGTTTTTGACGTTTCTTCCTACATATTCCTTGCACAATCGCCTCGTCAGTTTGTTAAAATTTAACTGGAAAAAATAGTGAAACCACATGCTGAACAATTACATGTTCACAATTGATCTTTTTTCTGCTTCAAGAAATCCTCTTTTTTCTTTAAGGTTCGCTTTTGCAATCAGGAGCTCCGCTTTTAGGCTTGGCTAAATCTATCTATTAACATGTTTCTTATTTAAGTTGTTTTACGCTCAGTATTACTATATTTTGTAGTCTTAAGAGTACTATTTTTAGTTGTTGGAAGTTTCTTTAAACGCGTATTCAGTTATTTAAAGCTTTTTCATGCGTAATTGTTTCGCTTGTACGCCAGGTCGTTACTTTTGTTTCTAGATCTGTCTAGTAAGTTCAATGGTGCCGCGAAAGCACACACGTAAGCGTCGCGACACCCAGCTAGCGTTACAAAATTAAAGCCGATTAGTTTTTTCGCAAGCAAGATCAGTTGACGTAAGATCTCTTAACTCACCGTAAGTTTACGCAAGTTTTTTTACGTTTATCATTGTTCTGGTGATCAAGGCAGCACCAAGGTAATTATTTTTTACGCCATGTTAGTTTTTTTTTACATAAGCCGTTTGTATTTTGACTCGCTCAAAATGTATTTACATCCCGTTATTTTCGCAATCTAATTTGTAATTTATTTGTACCTTTTATTTAGTAAGTAAGTTAGTAAGTAAAGACTTTATTTAAAGAGGGTAGCTCTCAGGGTAGTTCTCAGGGTCTTTATTAAGGTGTTTGTAAAGAATTTTGCAGCATTACTTTGCAAGCTGGGGTCACTCGCTTCGATCCCTTTATTTGACAGGAAGTGAAGCAGGAGAGTCTAACATAGGCTTTTTCAATCGCGCTTCAGCCACTATTTTTGGCTCAATCCCGCCCCAGTCATAATGTTTGTTTCGATTTTATCTGGTTAGAGTCGCAGTTTTCCACACAACATCCGTATCTTGTAATTTTCCGTTTTTCATACCGCATCCCACCGTCAATTTTAAAACTGTCCTTCACCCCACCTGTCAACATGATCAAATCTCTCTCCCGCCGAAGTATTTTTTATCCCGCATCCTGCCATTAAAATTTCTACCATCCCGATTCCTGCCTCCAATTTTACTCTTATCCCGCAAACTGTCAAACCTATGTTGGACCCTCAAGCGGGTCAACAACCCTTTTCACGATTACGTATATTTTTTTAGGTCCCCATGACAGCGTTTATGTATTTTCGCTCTATTTATTTCATTGTTTATGCATGAGCGTTTGTGTAAAATCACTGGCAAACATTAAAATTATAATGGAATGTCTGTGATATTGCTGAAGTGACTGACAATAAATAACATGCCCTGATGCGTTTTGTATCATTTTACACTGGCTTCGACGAAACTATGATGACGCGACCCCGTTTCTCCTACAGTTTCGTTTTCTTGATGTTCATTTCTATAGGTAAGCTTTACTGTTGTAGATCAGTGTTTTCCCCGGGGCTTGAAAAAACGAAACCTATACATTTTAACCGGACCTGTTTGATTTTACACGGTCTGCACCAACTGCTGAAATGTCATTGTTGTGGTTCACTATTCACGTAAAAACGGAACGTCAGGCTGTTCGTTATAACAGCCTGCTTTTAAACAGTTTGTTCACGTTAAGGTCTGAAAGGCTGAGGATCAAATCTTCGTTAGAATGTAGCTGTTATTTACCAGGTACTTCCTATTTGAATGTCTCCATGCGCATCTCTTCCTTGTGGCTGGCATTTTCTGCGTTGTCATTGCGCAATCAATCAATCAATATATTCTTTCACGTGGTCGGTACGCTTAGCTAAAAAGCTAGTTTACAGGTACGCCACGAAAAAAAGAAAAACAAAAAAAAAGAAATTATAAGAGCCTTATGAAGGTATATAAATTTAAATAAATTAAGATTAAGAACTAGCTAATATTAGAATATAAGAATTCACAATGAAGTCACAAGTAAAATATAAATATAAGAAAATATGAACATTAAAAGCAGTAAAAATTGATTAAGGATAGATCCACTTCGCACTCAGAGTCCCGTTAGATCTAATGTTTTTAAGTTGTTTTTAAAAGTAGTTTACGTTTGTATCTTTCGAGACTCGTCCGGTATAGCGTTCCACAATTTCGATACAGCGTATCTCCATGATCTTAAACCAAAAGTTGTTGATTTTACTTTTGGAAGGTCCAGTATTGTGGTGCCCCTAAGGTTATAAGTGGAGCACCTTACTGTTATAAGATCACGTAAGCTTGCTGGTCCTGCATCGCTGGCCAGTATCTTGAAAACAGTGGACAATATTTTCGCTAATCGCTGTTTACGAAGACTTGTGAGACGATACGCTTACAAAGTTACGCATAAGGCGAGGACTTATCGCTAAAAACACAACGGAACGCTCGCTTGTTCACCATCTCTAACTTGTCAGCTGACTTCTTATTACAGAAGTGCAGAAGTGCCACGTTTCGGAGCAGTAATTAAAGTGTGATAGAATAAAAGCTTTGTAAAGATCTCTTCTAGTCTCAAAAGGCAACAGTTTCTGAATCCTTTTTAATACAGCGATCTGTTGACTGACTTTTCTACATATTTTAGCGATGTGCTTTTCAAAATTTAATTTCTCATCAATTGTCACGCCAAGAAGTTCC